TATTTAGTAAGTATCACTGAGTTTCAGCCGATAATGGCTGCTACTGTATGTTTTGTACGATGTGTAATTTTTAAATAAACCATTTGATGAAAAGGAACTATTCAATTTTATAATAACTTTATTGTTCTGGAACTACAAGAGATGTAGCACCATAAGTTATCTGTGACATTATCAGAGTTTTAAGTATCACTACCATTCCAAATAGAGTTAGGTTTCTAGTTTTCCATGCGTTTAACATATTTTCAGTCTTGATGACTTATTCCTGTCATTTTTTCATTGCACTCTTTTTTATCATAACTAAAGTAGATTCCTAATGACTTGATTAGTGCTTCCAACATCCGAGCCATATAGCTTTTGTTTTCCTAAGATTTAGTTCGGCTCCTGCAATTTTACTAAAGTAAAATTATGCTTATAGGAGTGTATACGGATTTTTCGTTTCCTAATAACAGTGTCGTATCATCCGCAGCTTGTGAGGTTTTGATTTCTGTTGTATTGTCACCATCTATAATTTTGATTCCCAGTATTTCTTTGTTTTGATTCATGTAAAGTGCAAGAATTTCCATAACAAACAGAAATAGACATCCTTACACATTCTAACTCATCCTACATATCCTTGCACATCCTCTCCATCCTGACACATTCTAACCCATCCTCCCCATTTTTACACATTCTTACACATTCTACCCATCCATACACATTCTTAACCATCCTCCCCATCCTTACACATCCTAACGCATCCTTACACATTGATCTTTGTATCCTGTGCATCATGATCTTTGTGATCAACCCTTGTACATTCTGACTTTTCTGATTTAACTTATGTACACTAATAATTTAAATGACTGACATTCATAATACATAATCATCAATGCTACCTCATTTTGACTGTTCGAGCCATAATACCTACTAGTAGTTTCTGTGTCACTCATGACTTCTCTCAGTATATTCCGGTTTTGACAAAGGAAATATGCAGCATATTATTTTTTTTCATAGATCAACACGGTGGAAGCTACCACCAATATGCATTCCTGTATATATGTGCGGGTACTTCACTTGAACTGAGTCGACAGCGTTCACCAAGTAGTGGTCGATTCGTAGCTCACAATATACTTTGTCTTTTCCAAATACCAATTAAACCCTTTGCCTGTTCAGTTTGCTTTGTTTGACCGGGGGGAGCGGGGGTAGATCCTTTCTGATACAGTCCACTATGATAGCAAAATTTCCCAACACCCATGTGTCATGTGGTCACATTTTGCTAATTTTTAATAGTTATGTTCAGCTCAAGTTTGGCTACTTACTGCCATTTGTTGCATACGTTCCATAAATGGAACCTGAAATAATTATTATGATCGATCAGGATTGTCACAAATGTAACATGTATGGCGCATATGTGAACTCTCTACACCCTTCAATGATAGCCTCCTTCGCAGTCTTGTTGGGCGTGGGCGTAATTTTTTCTGTGAGCGACGCGAGTAATATGCCGCCGCGAGGGACGATTTGCTGCCGAGGGACTTTTGCCACGGAGAGAAGGTTTCCGCGCTAACCTTCTCTCCGTGGCAAAAGTCCCTCGGCAGCAAATCGTCCCTCGCGGCGGCATATTACTCGCGTCGCTCACAGAAAAAATTACGCCCACGCCCAACAAGACTGCGAAGGAGGCTAATGTATGGCCAACTATGAACTACTGACACCCATTCAATGAGGATGCCTGTCACGCATCACATGAACGGGTGATTAAACAGTATTAAGTTTATTTACGCTCTAGGTGATTCAGTTATGGTTGAACGATCTCCAGGTGTGTAGATCTCATCAATGGTTTGTTTGTTCTCACCGTCCGTATAGATAAGGAATCATCAGGAGGCACCCAGGCGTGGATTGCAAAGTACAGTAGATAGAGTCAATTCCGCGTAACCGTGTGCTTTTTCCTCCATGTTTGTAATACTGTTGAATTATTTAGAAGAAAAGAATACTCCACTGACACAAGTTCTAAATTTGTCAAAAATTTGAAAATGAAAATTTGAATATATATGAATTCATTTAGATATCTCTAAAGCATTTTGAAAGTGAACTGCCCATGTGTTTCTTTCACTATTCGAAATATTTAGAAATATTTCAAACAAATAACCAAATGGTAGATGTGGGTAATTGCCCCCCATAAAAGTAGGTGCTAATCTGACTCTTCTGTCTTCTTCTGTATATTTTAGGATTTCACTGCTGGACACATGGCTCTTTTGTATGAAGGCATCAATTCACCAATTTCACACTTCCCATAATGCCTAGTAACGGTCACGGATATGACGTAAGACCACCCCCTCCCCCTTCCTCGATGTAATATTTCCAACAATTAAGTTCTATCGACAAACTGGTCAACTATTATTTTGAATTATTTCTTAAGTATAAAGCGCATGCCATAATTGCATTTTTGTTGGAATTAGGGGGAGGGGGTGTCCTTACGTCATATCCGTGACCGTTACTAGGCATTATGGGAAGTGTGAAATTGGTGAATGCCTGACACTCAGGCAGTCTACCCTGTATGTACTTCACAGGGATGTGTGAATTACTTCCTTCCCATCCCATGACCTATTTACAAAATGTTAGAAATAATTGTAAAAAATTTTTACTAATAGATAGTTTCATCTTGGCTCGGAAAAGTACAGAGGACTTGATTTTATGATTTCAGGATGTGAAATTTTCTCAGTTTCAACTTCAGTAGATATCCATATTTTCTTAGGACGGCTTGTATGTCTGTCTGTTGGCTGACCAGTATGTTCTTTCCTATTCTAAGTTTTGTTTTTGATTTTGCATCTTGTGTTACCGAATTGCTGAAATACGTTTGACATGCGCTGCTTTTCTGACGAAATATTTGCTGTATTGCTACTAAACATCATTTCTAGTAAATAGCAAAGTTCTTTGATCACAACCATTTATTCTTCACAAGCCGACGTTTCGATGACCGTCTGTCATCTTCATCAGGGCAATTCTGACTGGTTTGCTGTGCACTGACACTAGATGTTACTTGGTGCATGGCGCACTAAAGGTGTTACATAGTTCACAGTGCAATGTTACTTGGTTCACAGTTCACTTAAGCTAGTTTTTACTGTTAACAATGCATTTCCGAACGCAGTGCAATTGTGACATACATATACTAGGCATTGTTACATCATAGGGGCATATGCGGTTCCAAATGTAAAGTGTTTCTATATAACATTTGTTAACTAACAATACTGAGCTACCGCAGTCCCAAATAGAAATTATTACAAGTCTTGTCACATACATATTGTTAGAAATCATAATAGTTACAAACAATAAGAAAACAAATGTCAGTTATTAAGAATGTGATCCCAAACATGACTAAGTTTATACCCCCGTCATCACGGTTCATGACTTGAGTGGATTTTCTTATCCATACGGACTCCTTAATCCAACGGATACATCTGTTGTCCTCTCGGTCTATTACCTTGGCCCCGTCCCAATCTATTACACAGTTATTTCTTGTAATGTGGTCTGTGACTGCTGAGTTGTTTTCTGGTTTCTCGGCTTCTTTCTTTCTTGCTCTCGATAGACGCTTATTGGATCAGGAGACAACACTTCCTTTTCTCGTTTTCTTTACTATTCAGTATATCAACTTCGAAACAAATCGGTGCCAAGTGAATCCAATATAAAATGCCACATATGTTAAAAGGGGTTATGTGATTTGGTTGAGGGGCTGATGAGCACGGGGAGGTCCGTAAGGAACGCGTGGGGGACCCAGGGTTCCCATGGCAAGAACCTCCAGACTACAGAATTCGTTTCTGCACCACACAATTACAATCAGACTCTACAACAGTCAAATGCAATCAGACTCTACAACAGTCAAATGCCGACTTAATTTTTATGCGTTGCATATGTTGGTGTCGTGAATCCGTATGTTCTGTTCGTGCCTGCATTGTACTTTCATGTACATGAAAGGTCAATACAATTCAGCAGTCCATAATTTTCTTTGCTTATGTACTGCTGCTATGTTTACCATTGTTTAAATAAATAAATAAAACTAATTTTGTCATCACCAATTCTACATCTAGCTGCATCTAAGATCCGGTAGCTATTTCATACTTCAGATCTAAAACGTGCCAAATTAAATCAAATTCTTACATTGATTAATCAATCTTCTTCAGTGAAAAAAGTAAGAAGGCACCACTGTTGGCCATTTCGATATTGCCTCGACGGTTTGTTGGGATTTTGCCACCGAATTATTTGCTTGAGGAATGGGATTAATAAACTTCCCATTCAGTCCTCAGTTCTGTCTTCTCTCAAGCTCTCATCCCTATCTTTATTTCAGGTCTTGTATTTATAGCAGATTTCTTATTTCGTGTTTGTCTCCACGTCTGTACATGTGAGTTATCTAATACCAGTTAAAACTGCCTTGATAACCTGTGTCTTGACCTGTTGTCAATGTCAATAAAGAAAGAAAGAAAGAAAGAAAGTTAGGGCAAAGAGCTTGGGAGAACACAGTCAAGTGATCATCATTGATAAAAATGTCCCCTCCTTATGCAATGGAATCTTTTAATGTCCTCAATCATTAATATTTCCCTCAGCATCTTCATTAGATTAATGTGTCGGTGTCTGTCTGTTAAGTGTCCAAGTCTAGGAGGAGAATCCCCATCTATTTCAAGCCGTGCTCAATTTCAGAATGGGAAAGTTGTAAGCTAGTAATCATGGGTGGATTGGTTGTCGTCAAAGCCCTGATTGCCCTGTTTAAGATTTATGTATATTGCATCATCCTACGTCTGATGAATAAAGGCGTTTCCCTTTTCCCATCTAACCGACCGTGAGTGATCATTATCGCTCCGCCCAGAACGGACGACGCTTCACTCGACCATGAATAAAGTGTCTAGACATGCACCCGACACAAAGAAAAAGTCAAATGAAAAACAAACCAATTATCTTGGTGACACTCTATATATACCCCTCCGACAGGTCCGTCTGTGCCCACTTCGACGAAGAGAGCTGATCGACACGCGACTTAGCGAGCCAACACCTCCATCGGTCCCCCGATCTCTCACCGCAACACCTCCACCGGTCTCCCGATCTCTCACCGCTGCACCTCCGCCGGTCTCCCGATCTCTCACCGCTGCACCAACTAACCGTACATCATGTCGTGTAAGTACATTTCCTCCTTCTCCACTTCACTGCTCATAATACAACACTATCAAAATCTGATGCATTTCCTCGGAGGATAACATTACTGAACGGTACCAAAGTACGAAGTAGCACACGGGGGAACGGTTAACGTACGGACGGGGACCAACCGCGGAGAACGATTGCAACCCATGCATAAGAACTTTTGAAACTATGTATATGGAAAACATAGGTCCTTGAATGATGCTTGATTTCATTTAATTCCAAATCAGCCTACTCGACTCCAGACGGTTTACAGTACCGCAGTATACGGCCACCACTACTACTTATAGTTGGATCATTGGCCCTATGCGGAGCATAAGGCACCCTCCATCCAGTTCGAATTCGATGAAATAGTAATGTATGATAATTTTGCTACTTGTCGCACAGAACGGGAGCACGTATATAGTAGTTGTTTGAAGTACTTGCCTCTGGATCCCCTAGGAAAAATTAGACCATCTTGCAGAGCTATACAGCATTTGAAGAGCAGCTATTTACCACATCCACGTTGCATATTAACAGAAGTTCTACATAGTGTTCTTCCTTTGTTTTAGCTAAAAGTCATTACATTCTTCAATTTACATGGTTGTATTTTTGGAATTTCAAGGAAGTCGTAAGCTGGCCTTGCCGCAATTCCAAAACAGTGTCAGTTTGTTCCCCTTTCCGTCGCGCGGTAATCTCTTGAACAGTTTATCTTAATGGTAAATCATAGTGTTCCCGGCGCGGCGAGAACCTCTCTAAACCGCTCTGCGGTGCTAACCTCCACCGACGGTTGCGCCTCGGCTGCCCAGGCTACCGCCCCACCGGTACACTTGACGGCTCATAGATCACTCAGCTCGAGACACTTGTTTGCCTCTTGTAACCAGATTTGACTACCGACAAAAACTTTGAGTCTCGACATTTCGCAAGTCGTCGCCGTTCTGAAGACACGAGCAAACTTCACTGAGATTTGCGACGATCGACGATCACTTACCCGACCCACGGGTTCTTACCGTTAACCAGTCACATGGAAGACCAAACCCATGGAGCCCGTCGCCTTCCTGGTCTTAGCCTACCAAACGTCACCCTCTGACGCCCAACGCCGTCATATGTTTAAACCATTACAAGGTGGCATCCTAGAACCACTCCATTCTGACCTAGATGTACATGTAGGTCTCCCCACTCCGTAAGATTCTTCAGATTTACAGGTCCCTTCCCTGACCAGTCCGCGTGGCACACCTGTATCTGTACAGCCGGTATAACCGCCCTTCGACGTAACACACCAGCTTCGCAGGCACGCGGCACGCGACTTCTAACACTCAATCTTTGCACATTTAAGTGCAGGTGTTGTTTAAAGCTTTCTAGTGATGATGCCCCAATGGTGTTTGGTGGCAACGAGTTCCGCTCTACGATTGTTCTTGGGAAATACGAAATTTTGAACACCTCAATTCTTGGTTGATAATTCTGATATTTGCAGGCATGACTGTTTCTTGTTCTTTTTAGGCTGGTATCAGATACTGAGTGGTTGGTACATCCACCAGTTTATTAGTCATTTTGTACATCGTGCATAGTCTAGTCTAATTTTCTTCTGTCTTTCAGCGACCCCCACTGTAGGTTTCTCTTCATTTCCGTTACACTAGCACCCATTTCATAGTTGTTCGTGCAGAATCCTGCGGCGTGCTTCTGTACCCTTTTCAGTTGTCTTAAGGTTTCTTTGTATATGGATCCCATACTGTCGCGGTATATTCTAGATTTGGTCTTACAAGCGACGTGTATGATTTCGCTTGATCACTCCCAATGTCTGTTTGGCCTTAGCAATGATGTTGTTAATATGTGTGCCCCACTTCAGGCGACTTATTAATGTAACACCGAGATACGGGTGGTTTTTTGTTGTTGCCAGGCTTGACCACAGAACAGGTAGCTAGTTATATGTGGCGTTCGTTAGTTTTATATATGCATAATGTAGTATTTTTTCTGGGTTAAATTGAATGAGCCATTTGCTTTGCCATTATTCCTGCTTATTCAGATTTTTTGTAAAAGTTGCGAGTCATTCTGTGTAGATAGCTCTACATACAACAGGCAGTTGCATATGGAACAATCAATGCGCGCTTTGAAGGAAAGCGTCACTAGACTTTGGATTCTGTAGCTTAGAAGCTTGTCTTTACCTGATGTAGGGGCCTCGGAAGCTGGCCTTGCTGCAATTCCACCATACAGTACCTTATGTGTCCAGAACTGTGCGCGGTCAGGCATGGTTCTGACAGTCCCCGCCTGTGCCAGCACGTAGATTTACCCCAGGCGCGGTTCGGGTGTGTGTGTTCAAATGCAACTACTAAATTGCAACAATGAGTAAATACATAAAATACTGTTTTGTTATTAGAAAAATTGCCGAAACTCATGATTATCCCAACTTGATTTTGTACTGTATTTAACACTTGATGTCTAGTAATTATGATGTTAATTTTCGTTCTATACCCTTTTCTTTTTTGTACTATGTTTAAAAGTCGTTGCTATACATGGTACCATGTATAATTGTCGTGCAATTAACTTCGACGAGGTAGAGTAATATAACGCTGGTGTCTCAATTATTTTCAGGTGACGTGGCTTGTGATCCAAAGAATAGGATCTCTTGCTACACTGAGAATAACTTCAATGGAGATGAAACCATCTACAAAGCAGACAGTACGTGGGGCTCTAACAATTATTACGAAACATGGCTACAAACGATATGCGGTTAACCGTCTGACTTAACACTGATTCTTTTGCTATGTTTTAAAACTCGCCTTCCCCTTCTCTCCTGTCTAAACCTCTTTTCTGTTCAAATGTCGTCAACTCGAGCACTCATTGCCATATGTATGCAATAAGAATGCACTTCCTTTCAATCGCTTTATCTCCTTTACATATCAATGACTACATGAGTGTTTGTCATGTTCATGTTCAATGAGCAACTAGTTTTCCAGTTACATTACATACATGTAAGTGTTAACCAGTTCTGTTAGTTCATTAGTGACGCTGAAGAAGAGTAGTGGATGTCACTCGAAAAGTCCGAAAAATTATCTCCGTAATTTATCCAGTAGTACAGTTTGAATTTCCTATGAGTATTGTTTACTTGTGTGTCTAACCTTCAATAACGCATGCTACATTTACTTTGCAAATTGCAGACATACGCTTCTCACATCGTCACACATTTTTCTTTCATTGCCAGCGAAAAGCGCCCCACCTGGAAGAAACACATGTCACTCCATAGACGTGGATAATGGGGAGTGGTTGGTCTACACCCATGACTTTTACCAGGGAACAACAGTACTCCTGAAACAGGACTACTACACTGATGATGCGAGCATCCGTGGCAACATCCGTGGCAATGGCACTTGGGATAGTGAGTCTGAAAGTAGTCAGAGATGTGTGAGTGAGTGTACACATACTCACTCACACACACACACACACACGCGCGCGCGCACACACACACACACACACACACACACACGTACACGCACACGCACACACACTCTCTCTCACACACGCACACATACTCTCTCACTCACACACACACACACACACACACACACACACACACACGCGTACACACACTCTCTAACACACACACTCACACACACACTCTCTCACACACACACACACACAGACACGCACACTCACACACACGTACACATACTCTATCTTACACACACACACACACTCACACTCACTCACACACACACACACACAGACACACACACTCACACACACGCACACACACTCACACACACGCACACATACTCTCTCTCTCTCTCTCTCTCTCTCTCTCTCTACTCCACACACACACACACACACACACACACACACACACACATATATATATATATATATATACACACATGGCACACTTTACAGAAAAGGATATAAGACATGCAGGGTGGGATATTTGTCTCTGATAACATATTAAATTTTGATTAATGATGGTATAGTTAAACAGAGTTGAATCCCAGCCTTATACCAGAATACTGTGTTAATAAGGATTAGGGAGAGTCATACTGATATTGGTGTCAATTCCAACTCCACAGGTCAGGCCCGCTCTGCTCGTCCTGTCAGGCAACATGCCATCACCCTGTTCGACAAGTACTTCTACTGCGGAGCTACGAAAACCTACCGCGAGAGCAACAACGATGCCCAGATGCAGGACTGCCGCTCCTTCATAATTCGTGGTATGTCAATATATTTTCCGAAGTAAATGTACCATCCTTTGCTAGCTAAGACCAATTCTTCCGCATAGTTTTAGGATTCCGCATAGTCACCGGATGTTTCGGGCCCTACTCCGTTACACCCTCAGGCTGCCGGGCCCAGCAGTGTTGGCCAAGTCACTGCTCATCCGCTCCTCCCGGTTTCCAGCTTGCTGTTTCCCTCCTGCACCAAAGCCAGCATGACGCCCTTTCTACTGCTTCGCCCATCTTGCGCGCTGCTACCTTCTTGTCTCTTTCCTGTTACCCCTACAGCTGACAGCATCTTCCACACCGACTGTGCTGGGAAACCCCTACACCCTACTTCAACTGCGAACAGCCAAGCCTGCCAACCTTTGTCCCTACACTGCTGCAACAGGTCTTGGTACTTTGCACTTTTCCTCTCATGGGCTTCCTCACAGCCTTCCTCCCAGGGAACAGTCAACTCGATAATAACGATTTTCTTCCCGTCTTCAGACGACAGGACAGCGTCAGGACGCAAGTTTGTTTGGACAACCTGGGGGAAGTGCATTCTCCTACCTAAGTCCACCCTCAACTCCCATGACTTCGCTCTCTGCAAGATGCTGTTATCCCTTCTTACTGTTGCCGGTTTCACTTCTCCCTCTCTCACGAAGTTCATTGCTAGATCTGGTCACTCTGGGCCTATCCTGGCGCTTCTTCCTCCTCTGCTGCTCAAGAATTTCTGCTATCACCGCTAGTACCTTGTCATGGCGCCATCTGTAGCGCCCTTGGGCGAGGGCAACTTTGCAACTTCGTATCGTTCATCTTAGGCCACTTTATCCTGTCTTTAACTGGATGGGCTTGTCTCTCTGCTCTGCTAGCTTGCTCACGGCCTCTGGGCTGCTGGCTTTCCGTTGCTGGCCTTCTCTGCGGTGAGTGCCTCCTGTGGGCTTGGGGTGACTCAGGTGCTTGGGGATCTCCAGTACTGTGGGGTGCCTCCTGCCTAGAGTCCTCCTGCGTCTCACCAGGTTCTACCCCTGCGCGCTGCATCTGCAGCACCCCTTGCCCACCTATTACTTCCATCTGCTCTTCCTTGCTCAGTTTGTGCATATCTGGTTTCATTGACACATAGGATTTGGGTCGAATGCATTTCACACATTTTAGGTTAGGGAATAATCTTTCTTTTAAGAAAGATTAATAATCTTTCTTTTAAGAAAGATTATTACTAAAACCCCCATGGTGAAGACACATTGTAAATTGATTTGAATTAAAGACAATTATTGCACATTCTAACATGTGACTAGCATATGAGTCTAATAAATACAGACTCTAAACTCCAAATTGGTGGATTTGCCAAGAGATCCCACTTTTTCTGCAATTTGGATCTGGGATGATACATGTATGATGGGCCATTATACATGTATCATCCCAGATTGATGGGGGTATTTTTTACTGTACACGTGGAAAGTTAGGGTGAATTTTTTAATAGTAGCTCCCTTTCATGATCGTGAAAAGGAAATTTTGAAATAAAATGTATTTCTTCTTCCACCACATTGCCATACAGCAAGTTCTGTTCACACAGGAAACGTCTTTTTACATGTACGTCCCTTTCTGCCCAGAGGGTGGGGGGCGCTAAATCTGACTGCTAATTGCAGTGTTGTGCACTATTCTCATACAATTGCACTCATGGCATGAACAAATTTATGTTATTTCGATAAACCTGTTCTATATTACAGACGGCTGGTGGAAGCTGTTCCCTCTTGGGCGCTACAAAGGTGAATACAAATTCACTAACGGCATTTTTGGGCCAGGCGAGTACAACTTGCCCAACATTGGTGAAGGCATTGAATTTATGGAGGTTGGCTCAGTACAGCACTTCCCGGTTTGCCCTTGTCTGCCTTGTGTTAAAAAGTGATAGCAGTTAATGATACAGGCTGCAGTGGTAGCAATGCACAGCACCGTAACTAATTTTGGCGACATCAGTGTGACCATGTGTCACCCTTTAACGACAATCTTAGTTACTTTTGCTGGCAATATGAGACAGACCAGGTTGGAGCAGAGAGGTTTGTAAAACTGGACCCAACTTGAGCTGAAAATATCAGATGATAATCGTCAGAAGACAAAATTTTTTCTATTTTCATTTTTGCACATTTGCTTGCCCAAAGACCGCCGTGTTTTAAACATTGTTTTTAGAAATTACCCACTGGAGATCATAGGGGTCCTAAAGTAGTCCCTTGACCATTTGTAGACATGGGAGCAGATATTTTCTTCAAGCATAATATTTTGAAAATGACCCATTGGAATGTTCAGGCCCAGTCCTCATAGTTTAATTCCTTATCCATCCATACATTTCAGCTGGAAAAAAACTTAGCTGAGCCTTTTTTGACATCACATCAGAATACCTAGAAATCGTCTGCTGCATAGATCACAGTGCTAGCTCCCAGGATCCAACCTGGTCTGTCCCTATGAAAACTTAATCCGACCTCTTAATTCTGATCCGTTCCCCAACACCAGTCGACTTTCAAAACTGACCCATTGGAGATCCTAGGGGTGTGTTCAGGTAACCCCCGACCCGTAGTTTTTCAATCATTTTTAAATGACCCAATGGAGATCCTAGGGGGGTGTTCAGGTAACCTCCTGACCCGTAGTTTTTCAATCATTTTCAAATGACCCACTGGAGATCCTAGAGGTGTGTTAAGGTAACCTCCTGGCCCTTTGTGAATTGGTGCACATAGTTTTTTCAAGTATAATGTTTTTAAAAATGACCCATTGGAGTGTTCTGGCCCAGTTCCCATAGTTAAAGTCCATTCAGACACATAAGTTTTGTCAGCTAAAAAAAAGATGGGCATCACATCAGAGGCATCATTTGGCACATTGATCAAATTAAAAAATAAGGGATATTGATTGCAAAAGGAAATCCTATGAAATTGGCTAAATTTAAAGAAAGAGACCTAAAAACTAATCTTGTTTCT